GTTCAGGGCCTTCTTTGTTTGGTTTGGCGTCATATGTTTGCTGTGTTTGAATCCCTGTGTTCAACTTTTGCACTGCACTTCAAGGGCTTCATTCCACCAGCCACGTTTATTTTTTTGGTCAAGCTGATCAAGTTCTAATAAATGCTGCAAAGAGTCAAAAATTAAATTTTGCTTTGAAAATTAGTGGGCTCGGGCCTTTTGCCACTGCGCCATCATATCATTTTGACTACAGTTCTATACTTTTGTACCCTAAGTGAATATAAGAGGGGCGGAGCTGCAAATTGCGTTCAATTGGCATAAAGCTGAAACCAAAAAATTAACTATAAAATCAAGGCATCCAGGCTTTTTGTTTATGGAAGACTTTCATTTCATTATGGCTTATTAGCAGGGGTACGGAATTTGTGCATAGCAACACACTGGGTTACCAAGCCTTACGTTATAGAACCCCTCAGAATAATTTCTAGATCCGCCCCTGACCATTGTAGTAGAGCGACTGTGCAATTAGATTATAAAACTAAATCAGGAGTCTCGCTATTCCGTCGCTAGCAGGAGGGGGTGCGGCTGAATGTTTCGCTATGGGCCTGGCGTTTTGAGTATTTTTATGTATTTGAAATTCTTAGAGAAAAAAGTATTCGCAGGAATATAAGTAGGTATAAAAAGGGAACCCCTTTTGGTCAATAATAGTAAGGGCAAGTTTTTGAGATGTTTTTTATGTAGTTCTTGAATTATTAAAAAAAGAATAACAAGGGCTCGGGGCTCGGGCAAGCTTTATCCTCTGAATATAAATCATACCTCATGGTCTATGAATAAGACGTGAAACACGGAGTTGAAACTTGAAACCGTTCTGTTATATAAACCACAGCGTTTACAAGTTCTGCCGTTCCAGCATCGAGCATCAGGTAAAGATCGTCAAAAGATCCACGAAAACATATTGCAAATTTGCGCCTAAGCATTCGTCGCGTGCTGTATCATAATTCAACTCCCCCTGGTCAACCTCAACTCCCCCTGTTCAAGCTCAACTCCCCCTGGTCATAAAACCACTTATACATTTGACTGTAGATTGAAGCGAAGAAACTCCCCCTGGTTTGTCGGTATTCTTTGATGTTTTGGATTTTTGAAATCCATGGGTTCTCGCGCCAAAGTTTAGAACCCCTCGACCTGGCACCGTGATTGGCTAGATTCACTTCCACGGGTGCAGAAACTCGTATAATTTACAGGCCACGGGTTCCTTAAGTGGCTGGATATAAGAAGAGACAATGCTTTCCGAGTCTGTAGAATGCTATACAGGACAACCAGGGGGAGTTTCATAACAGTTCAATGCATGGACTGAAATAACAATGTTGAACAGTTGTGAGACGGGGCATTGAAGCGGAAATAACAATTTCAGGAGATGTGCATACTTCCCGGTATTATTTAAATGGTTTAAATAATAATAAACAAAATTGCGGTAGAATAAGCTTTAATCCCCAAAAAGTTTTTTCTCAAATCTGAGGGGTGCTCGAGCCCCCTTCGCACCCCACTGGATCCGCCCCTGATGGTGGTACCAGACATCCATTCTGCATCACGCAATCACGTGTAAAATAAACGAGAATCCGTACATCACGGTACTGTAAATTGAATTTCACTGCCACGCCCCCAAAGTCTCTCTGAATTTTAACAAATAAGCCTAAGCCAACCTGAACCCTCTCCACGACACCACTGCTCTGGCGTTAACTGTATTCACCAACTTGGTTTTGTTGAGCAGTTAAACTTGATCAACAGCTTCCATCACATCATCTTCTTGATCTTCAGCAATAAACATCTTCGTCTTGGTTCATTACATCAGAGTTGCCTTCTATTTTTATTAGAAGAGGAGGCTGCTTCGGTAACATGTTCCTTATCGTTCCATTGTCGTTTTTTGCCTGACAGTGCGATGCCTCACTGCCAAACCATTCGTTCCCCCTATTGTCTCATTTCATTTTCATTCCTTTTTCATTTCATTCCATAGATACATATTTTGAGCAAATAATTGCAAATTTTTATTGATATGAAGATGCTATATTTAAAAAAAATCATAAATGTTGCTGAAAGTATATCAATGGTAATCCAAATATGCTGATGGACATATGAAAATAACTCTAAAGAGTTTTCGAGCCATTGACGTATTTCTATTTTATCAAACAGATAATTCAAGTTTTAAATTGCATACATTTTCAAGCTTTTCTTTCCTTCACTGAATTCTGACTGTTTCCCGTTCCATCAATATGATTGTTTCCAAGAGCCAGGGGCGCAGTGGCTTGGGGGCAGGGGGGCAGCCGCCCCCCTGGCAAAAAATTTGTCGGATTGTCGGAAAATCCAACGTTTGTCGGAAAATTTGAAATATTAGACAAAATGTAAGGTTTTCATCGATCCTGTCCAAAAGGTCGCATATTTTTTTAAACCTGTCGTAAAAAAGGGCATGCTCAACCCTTCTTACTTATTTTCATTAGAGTATTTATCGGAATCATCGCATTGCTGAAATTTGTAAAGGAAATTAACGCTCTGGTCTCAGTTATTTTATAAACTCCCATTTCCGACAGTTAAAATTCAACTCAGTTCATTTCGAAATGAATTCGCTGGTGTTATAGAAGACGCAAACGATGGGACAAGACCGCCTTTCCTCTCTGATAACAATCAACGTCGAAAGTGATATTTTACAGTCGATAGACTATGGTGACATCATCGATTTGTATGCTGCCACGCCTCTTTTGAGAAAGATGCTGCTTGAGTAACAGTTTATATAAATTCAGTTAAAAGAAAACTATTCTTTTGGAGGCGTTATATCTATTTAAGGTTTAGCATAAATAAATGCAAAGTAATTATGATGCGATTTAAAACTTGCCAAAAAAACTTTTTGCTATAAACTGGTAAAACCATCGTTCTGCATAATGCTTAAGCCGCATCTAATGTCAGGTCTTCACCCGTCTTTAAAAAACCAGTCAGATAATTTTTGGTAAACTAGGTGTAAAAAATATATTTCCACCTCGATATAAACGCAGAATTTGGTACTATGATAGAACAAAGATCACTGCAATCAAAGATCACTGCACGTGTTAAAACAATTTCTCTGAAGTCAAATCCCTAGATCTTCAAGTTAAAAACCTGAATGAAATTTTACTGAATATCCTTTCCAATTTTATAACAAACAAAATAATCACATTCAGATCTCGCCAGGCACCTTGGATAACGCAGTCAATTAGAAATTTCATCATGAAAAGAACAGGGTTTATAAGACTTTCATCAGAAATGAACAGCCAGAATGCAAGCGAGAGGTCATTGCCAATGTGATATCTCAGGGATCCAATTTTATTGAGGAGGCTAAGGAAAAGTGTTTGAAGAAAATAGGAAAAAGAATTTGAGGAAAGTTGACATCACAATAAAAAACAGCGTACTGTTTTGAATGGCAAAGCATCTCAATGAAGTAATTTTTCAGCCGGTGTTCCTCAAGGTTCTATCTCGAGTCCTTTTATTTTCTTATCTAAATCAATGACTTGACTGATGGCTTGAAGTGTAATGAATCATCCAACTACAGCTGTTGTTGATTTGCAAATACATCTTATTGAACTATGGGCGCTCAGCTGGCAAATGTCCTTTAATCCTGACCCAGCCAGCAGTAGAAAGTAGAAATTATCTTTTAAACACGGAGAATTCCAATGGATCATCCTTCCATTTGTTTAATGGAGCTCCAGTGATGAGAGTTCAAGAGCAATAACAACTCGGCGCCATACTAGATCCCAAACTGTCATTCGCTAGCCATTTTCGATCAGTGTTTTCTAAATTTAGGCAAGGCATAGGCATGTTAAGATCCCTTTTGACCAATTTAATGGCTCGGGTTCTTATAAAATTGTTCTTATCAAAATGAGAGAGCAATATAATTTTGTTTGGGTATGAATATTGCCGTTTGTTTTATTTTACATGCAGTGGGGTAGTCTCCCCATAATGATTTTTGATGGTATCGAGGGAAGCTTTGATATCCTCATCTTGAGAAATTCTTGTGTATAGTGATTTTACATCTAGTTTAAAAGAAATGAGCGCATGCTCTATGACTCCAGGATAGAGGGTTGTTTTGTCTGCAGCTATTGGGTAGACAAAAGGAGTTCATTTCCACTTTTCCACTTAAGGACTCCATTGGTAACAATCCCTATAGGCAAGCGGCACTGATTGGGCAACCTCAACAGTCATGTGCTTGTGTTTCTGATTGGCCTATTTCGTTCCACAACTTGGTTTATATGTTTCCTAGCGTAGAGTTTTCGATCTATTTTCTGACGTTTTCAACTCTGAAAAATATCAGACGAAAAGGTTTAGTTTACTCAAATGTTAGCTTTTTTAAAGCCATTTTCAAGCATTGTCATTGATTTATTGTACTCTCTCAAGACTGGTTCACAAACACTACGACACAATGTCTTGTACTGCTCCTCCGTTCGCTACTGATGAATTGCAATCAGACGTCACATACATGGAGGTTCGTTTAACTTTTTAATTACCTTTCGATTGGTTTTTATGCAAATAAATTCGTGCAGCACAAAGAAACTAACTCAAAATTGTCCACAGTGCTCTTAATAACAAAATTTATACAAAAGCTTGAGTGCTGATATTATAGCTGTATTCATGATTGTTTCATACAAGTTTCTTTTTCTTTTGGTAACCTTATAAAAGGTTTTTTCATCTGTTATTTAAGATACCCCATTACTTCAACCTCACAAAAATCCAAATGGTTGTCTACCTAGGTATCCCATCACTTCCTAGGTTTAGGTAAACAGTTTATTCAAGGTATCCCATTACTTCAACCTCACAAAAATCCAAATAGTTGTCTACCTGCGACTCCACATAAAGATACTTTCCTTTTTTCGGTTGGCCGAATTCTTTCATATGGTTTGTTTGAGTCGATGTAAAGGTGGGTGTAGTCCAAATTATTGTATTTGCATTGGGTGCATTTTTGTTGCCAAGCTTTACATGCAGACCACTGACTCGTTCAAAACAGCAATCTGTCCTTGAGTATATTGTAACTGAATACACAACTGCATTTCCAGCAAAGTCTACAGACCACCAAGGTCTTTGCTGTCCTGTGTGCATGCATCTGCTAAAACTACCTGAATTCCAAACGCCAGTTCTGCCTCCATCAACCGCATTGGCACTTGAATACGGAGCGTACGTCGATGACTGTGAAGTACTTTTCCCATATGCAATGTTACTGATTGCTGTTTGATTGAGGGTAAAACATGAATCAATGCCAGTTTTCCTTAAAAGATTTTCAAAAGTTGCATCACGTAAGCATTAGTGTTCGCAGGGACGCCAGAGAAGAGGGAGCGCTGGGGGTAAAAACGCCCCTGTTGCCTTTTCAAAGAAGGAACAAAGGAGTTCAGAGTGCCCTTTTCATTAAAGTGCCCTTTTCATTAAAGTGCCCTTAAAACCGGCCATTCTAATAATCAGGGAGAGTCATATGAAATTCCGATTTTAGTGCATAATTCATGACGACATTTCTCAAAATTTGTAAAATAATGCCAAAAGTTAACAAATGTCCAAGATACCTGAAGAAGATCGAAGTAAAATGGCTGTTACGAAAGAATTGCTAGTAGCGGGGAATTATCTTTCAAATGCCCTTTTACTCAAGCCTGCCCCCCCTTGCCCCTTTGTCGTTCCGGCGTCCCTGAGTGTTCGCAAAGGTTAAAGGAGGTTTTTCGTACACTGGTCCATTTGCTTGGGATGAAATCTCACAATCCATTAGAGATATCGATTCCATCGTACGATTTGAAATAGAACCAAGATTTCGCCTTTTGAGATAGCAAAAATTAGCTCGGCATGAAACCATAAAAGATCAGACATTTTTTTTTCATTTAATCTTATTTATACACGATATCCATTCTGTAAAGAGAAAAGTTAAGATATACAGAATTAAAAACTACATAACATTAAACATTTGATAAGTTTACTTAGAGATTAAAACATAAATTGTATGAACTTCCATTGATTCGGACCAAGCTGATGTATGTTAGCTCAAAAGGTGAAATCTTAGTTCTATTTTAAAACGAATTGAGATCTTTAATGAATTGTGGGATTTCATTCCAAGCAAATGGACCAGTGTACAAGAACATCTTTTGGTATAATCTAATGTTAGTTTTTGCGCATGGAGATTTTATCTATCTATTCCTTGTGTTGTATTTTGCTATGGCAGACCTTTTGACGAACTGATTTTTTAGCTCTCTAGGACAGAGCTGATTTACAATTTTACAAGTCATAACTGCTTGGTCAAACTTCATCAATTGACTTACCTTCATAGGCAGTGGTGTAGTGCAATAAAAAACAATAGCAATGAGGCTTTTGCACAAAATGTTGCTAATGACAATAGCAAAAGTAGAAATTTACCAATATTCGGAATCAACAAGGGAGGCTCATCCCCCTGAGCCCCCTATCTTTACCTCTCTGTTCATAAGTCTCTTATCATAAGTATCCTTTACCGTTGAAGATTCTATTAGATCGAACGCTTTGTCCTGATATTTTTGCAGATTGCTTGGTATAGAGAGGACTCTCCATACCACGTAAGCTTACCCTAAGTGACTCTCATCCACTGTTTTATATACATTGAGCAGATTTGAAGACAAAATAGAAATTGTGATTTGGGAGGTTCATTCTCATCACCTGTTCTATGGCTTTTTGCCTTTACTGTCTGAGAGCAGTAGCTGTCGCAAAACATCCCTTTTTCAAGGTCTGATTTTTTGGGATCTACATGGACATCACGATCAAAAGCCATTTGACCGGATTCAACTGGGATTGATTGGAACTGTCAGGATTTTGATCACGATTGTATGATCACGACTCGTCAATTTTCAGGGTTGCAATCCTGATCCCTGTCATTCTAATCCAATCCCGATCCATGTTAATATGATGTATCATCTTTAAAGAGATAAGGTATTATTGTTTAATTATTGACTCACATCTAACACACGGCATGCCAAGTGGAAGCTCCTTGCAATGGGTGCACTTGTATCCAGGGGAATAGCAAACATCGAGACACAAATGCTCCGGTTCGCATGGATTGAGTTTCCTGCACATGTGCCCAATCTACGAAACAAAAAAGTTATCAAAAGAACTTCAAGCAATAAAGTACCTTCTGGCATCAGTTCAGCGAATCTGTGCAATGCAGAAGAAGATTTTTTCATAAAGAATTAGTCATACACTGCCATCTTCCAAAAACAGCAATAGGATCCGTCTATATATCAAAAGAACTGCAGCTTGTCTACTCTTGAGCTCACGGTTGCACAATATAGGCTACTTTGAAATAACAGTGTAACAAAACAAATTATAAAGGTAAACAAAAACGCTGCCGTACAACGTTACTAAATTCTTCAGGATAGTCAAAAATATATTTCGTTTTGGCCGTAGTTTTTCTAATAAACATCTATCTCTAATTCGATTAATAGTCTGATGAACTAAATTAAGCTCATCCATTTGAGAAAGATTAACTTTCGAGGTACATAAAAGTTCCTTTAGGTTGATGAAGTGTATCATACACGTTGATGGTACAATGAAATTAATTGTATTTTGCTCGTTCCATACCAGATTTTCAGTAAAGCTCGTTGACTTGTACACCCAACCTTGCTTTGGCGTTAGCGCTACCCCGTCTGAAGCATCTGCAGTAGAGCGTTTGTTGAGCTCGCACCTTCTGGCTTTCTTACTCTTTTCTATGTTTATTGACTTGCATTGCAGCTCATCAACACAGGCAAGTTCGCATTCTTCTTCGGATGGAACAATTACTGTTGTTATTTTCTCTCCCTGCAAAACTTTATCCTGCTCTACATATGAGAAGTTTGCGTAGTCTCCACAAGATCTGCGCAGGATTCTACCGTTGACTGAATGCAGGAACATGTGTAAGAAGATGCAAAAAACTCCAAACGTGCTATAGAAGACAATAATATCCAACCATTTTACATTGCTACGAGTGGGCAACAAGGCTTCAGGTGTAATTCAATTTTAAAATTAATTAACATCTTTTTACCAATTTCAGCAAAGTCTGTGCTATTCCTACTCGAAATCCCGTTTCCGTAAATTCCTGAAAATTTATTTAATCAGGACTTCAGCAAAAAATAGTTAATTTGATATATTTTATCTTAATTGATTATAAATAATAAATATAAATAATTATCTATGCTTAAGTTATTCATATGTGATTTAAATTTGTATGTCAAGGGATAAGAAACCCTTTCCAATGGCCGGACCTTTTATTCCCAAAAGTTTGCCCTAACTGTACCACTGTTTGGAAATATTAGAGGGGATGACAACCCCACACCCCCAGTAGCTACACCCATGGCCTAAGAATGTAAGGTGTAAGAAAAACTTTTATTTGCGCGTTACACACCATTCTAGCCTAATTGCCCTCCAGAAAAAACCCGAGTTTATTTCGAAGTTAAAAGTTTGCTTACTCTTATCTTAATTGATATGTTTTAATGGTAGCTCCATAGATACAAACATAGATACTCTGACATACCGTGCTGCTAAGGGACGCCAACCGGTCGTTACATTTATACAAATACAGCTTATACAAACCTGGCTAAATTCGGGTGCATCTTGAAAGTGCTGCTGAAAGCTTTCAGGTATTTGCTTGTAAGATGTTTTCGTGCACGAGAATTGAATTGATCATTCAGATTATAAGCCGATTGATCGATCATATTTAAACTTTCTGAATACTTATTTTACAAGCGAAGGCGCGCGTGAATGCATGGAGGGCGCGTGAATCGGGTCACAGGCATGCACCTGCTAAACTTTCGTCAAAGTATATTGACAGTGTGGTCGGTATTATCAATGCCTAGATAAAAACTAACAGACGTTTTCGTAGTTTTCCTTCATTATCTTTGATGCAACACACCAACCAATGGAGCTCATAGTAGTGTTAAAATTTCATAGACTGAACACATCGCATTATGCAAACTGTAGGCAACGTAAGCCTCCCTTATTACTCCAATCTGTAGTTTGTGCATTGCTGTCCTAAACCAGCAGAGAAATCATGAATGATAATATGGTAGTGTCTTTAAACAGTTTTCCATTGAGAAACAAGTAAAAGACAGAAGTGAATTATCAAGGAAGGTTTCTATTGCATATACCTATTATGCTTTTTCACAGTTACTAAGCAGCATGTGACCCAGCTTATATTATATCTTTCCACGTTTCCCGATTAAAACACCTCCATGCAACAAGACTTTTCTATTCAATGAAATTAGCAGGTAAATATGGCACATGATACCAAAATTTGCCCATCCCCGTCATACGTAAACACCATGTATTCTAAATGAATCATAATTCTTGGCATGTAAAATGAGTATTCAGAAAGTTTAAATATGATCGATCAATCGGCTTGTGATCTGAATGATTAATTGCATTATCATGCACGAAAACATCTTTCCAAAAAATACTTGAGAGCTTTCAGCAGTACTTTCAAGATGCACCCGAATTTAGCCAGGTTTGTATAAGCTGTATTTGTATAAAAATAAGGACAAGTTGGCGTCCCTTAGCAGCACGGTATGTCAGAGTATCTATGTTTGTATCTATGGAGCTACCATTAAAACATATCAATTAAGATAAGAGTGAGCAAACTTTTAACTTTGATATAAACACGGGTGTTTTCTGGAGCACAAGTAGGCTAGAATGGCGTGTAACGCGCAAATAAAAGTTTTTCTCACACCTTACATTCTTAGGCCATGGGTGTAGCTACTGGGGGTGTGGGGCTGTCATCCCCTCTAATATTTCCAAACAGTGGTACAGTTAGGGCAAACTTTTGGGAATAAAAGGTCCGGCCATTGGAAAGGGTTTCTTATCTCTTGATATACAAATTTAAATCACATATGAATAACTTAAGCATAGACAATTATTTATATTTATTATTTATAATCAATTAAGATAAAATATGTCAAATTAACTATTTTTTGTTGAAGTCTTGATTAATTAAATTTTCAGGAATTTACGGAAAACGGGATTTCGAGTAGGAATATTACAGTCTTTGCTGAAAATGGTAGAAGGATGTTAATTAATTTTAAAATTGAATTACACCTGAAGCCTTGTTGCCCACTCGTAGCAATGTAAAATGGTTGGATATTATTGTCTTCTATAGCACGTTTGGAGTATTTTGCATCTTCTTACACATGTTCCTGCATTCAGTCGACGGCAGGATCCTGCGCAGATCTTGTGGAGACTACGCAAACTTCTCCTATGTAGCGCTGGACAAAGTTTTGGAAGGAGAGAAAATTACAACACTGATTGTTCCATCCGAAGAAGAATGCGAACTTGCCTGTGTTGACGAGCTGCAATGCAAGTCAATAAACATAGAAAAGAGTAAGAAAGCCAGAAGGTGCGAGCTCAACAAACGCTCTACTGCAGATGCTTCAGACGGGGTAGCGCTAACGCCAAAGCAAGGTTGGGTGTACAAGTCTACGAGCTTTACTAAAAATCTGGTATGGAACGAGCAAAATACAATTAATTTCATTGTACCATCAACGTGTATGATACACTTCATAACCTAAAGGAACTTTTATGTACCTCGAAAGTTAATCTTTCTCAAATGGATGAGCTAAATTTAGTTCATCAGACTATTAATCGAATTAGAGATAGATGTTTATTAGAAAAACTAGGGCCAAAACGAAATATATTTTTGACTATCGTGAAGAATTTTTGTTTACCTTTATAATTTGTTTTGTTACACTGTTACTTCAAAGTGGTCCAAATTGCGCAACCGTGAGCTCAAGAGTAGACAAGCTGCAGTTCTTTTGATATATAGACGGATCCTATTGCTGTTTTTAGAAGATTGCAGTGTATGACTAATTCTTTATGAAATAAATTTTCTTCTGCATTGCACAGATTCGCTGAACTGATGCCAGAAGGTACTTTATTGCTTGAAGTTTTTTTGATGACTTTTTCGTTTCGTAGATTGGGCACATATGCAGGAAACTCAATCCATGCGAACCGGAGCATTTGTGTCTCGATGTTTGCTATTCCACTGGATACAAGTGCACCCATTGCAAGGAGCTTCCACTTGGCATGCCGTGTGTCAGATGTAAGTCAATAATTAAACAATAATACCTTATCTCTTTAAAGATGATACATCATATTAACATGGATCGGGATTGCATTAGAATGACAGGGATCAGGATTGCAATCCTGAAAATTGACGAGGAATCATACAATCGTGATCAAAATCCTAACAGTTCCAATCAATCCCAGTTGAATCCGGTCAAATGGCTTTTGATCGTGATGTCAATCTAGATCCCACAAAATCAAACCGTGAAAAAGGTTTGTTTTGCGACCGCCACTGCTCTCAGACAGTAAAGGCAAAAAGCCATAGAACAGATAACGAGAATGTACCCCCAAAATCACAATGTCTATTATGTCTTCAAATCTGCTCAATGTATATAAAACAGTGGATAAAAGTCACTTAGGGTAAGCTTACGTGGTATGGGGAGCCCTCTCTGATACCAAGCTGAGCAATCTGCAAAAATATCAGGACAAAGCGTTCGATCTAATAAAATCTTCAACGGTAAAGGATACTTATGATAAGAGACTTATGAACAGAGAGGTAAAAATAGGGGGAATTGGTAAATTTCTACTTTTGCTATTGTTTTTGCAAAATTTTGTGCAAAAGCCTCATTGCTATTGTTTTTTGATTGCACTACACCACTGCCTATGAAGGTAAGTCAATTGATGAAATTTGAACAAGCAGTTATGACTTACAAAATTGTCAATCAGCTCTGTCCTAGAGAGCTAAAAAATCAGTTGGTCAAAAGGTCTGCCATAGCAAAATACAACACAAGGAATAGATAGGTAGAATCTCCATGCGCAAAAACTAACATTAGAGTATACCAAAAGGTGTTCTTGTACACTGGTCCATTTGCTTGGAATGAAATCCCACAATTCATTAAAGATTTCAATTCGTTTTAAAATAGAACTCAGATTTCACCTTTTGAGCTAACATATATCAGCTTGGCCCGAATCAATGAATCTTCATACAATTTATGTTTTAATCTCTAAGTAAACTTATCAAATTTTAAATGTTATGTAGTTTTTAATTCTGTATATCTTAACTTTTCTCTTTACTGAATGGATGTCGTGTAAAAATAAGATTAATTGAAAAAAAAATGTCTGATCTTTTATGGATTCATGCCGAGCTAATTTCTGCTATCTCAAAAGGCGAAATCTTGGTTCTATTTCAAATCGTACGATGGAATCGATATCTCTAATGGATTGTGAGATTTCATTCCAAGCAAATGGACCAGTATAAAAAAAACCTCCTTTAACCTTTGCGATTACTCAGGGACGCCGGAACGACAAATGGGCAAGGGAGGGCAGGCTTGAGTAAAAGGGCATTTGAAAGATAATTCCCCGCTACTAGCAATTCTTTCGTAACAGCCATTTTACTTCGATCTTCTTCAGGTATCTTGGACATTTGTTAACTTTTGGCATTATTTTACAAATTTTGAGAAATGTCGTCATGAATTATGCACTAAAATCGAAATTTCATATGACTCTCCCTGATTATTAGAATGGCCGATTTTGAGGGCACTTTAATGAAAAGGGCACTTTAATGAAAAGGGCACTTTAATGAAAAGGGCACTCTGAACTCCTTTGTTCCTTCTTTTAAAAGGCAACAGGGGCGGTTGACCCCTCGCGTCTCCTCTTCTCTGGCGTCCCTGCGAACACTAATGCTTACGTGATGCAACTTTTGAAAATCTTTTAAGGAAACCTGGCATTGATTCATGTTTTACCCTCAATCAAACAGCAATCAGTAACATTGCATTTGGGAAAAGTACTTCACAGTCATCGACGTACGCTCCGTATTCAAGTGCCAATGCGGTTGATGGAGGCAGAACTGGCGTTTGGAATTCAGGTGGTTTTAGCAGATGCATGCACACAGGACTGCAAAGACCTTGGTGGTCTGTAGCCTTTGCTGGAAATGCAGTTGTGTATTCAGTTACAATATACTCAAGGACAGATTGCTGTTTTGAACGGGTCAGTGGTCTGCATGTAAAGCTTGGCAACAAAAATGCGCCCAATACAAATACAATAATTTGGATTACATCCACTTTTTCTTTAAGTCAAACAAAGGAAACGAAAGAATTCAGCCAACCGAAAAACGGAAAGTATCTTTATGTGGAGTCGCAGCTAGACAACTATTTGGATTTTTGTGAGGTTGAAGTAATGGGATGCCTAGAATAAACGGTTTACCTATACCTAGGAAATGATGGTTTTGTTATTAAGAGCAATGTGAAAAATTTTGAGTTAGTTTCTTTGTGCTGCACGAATATATTTGCATAAAAACCAATCGAAAGGTATTTGAAAAGTTAAACGAGCCTTCATGTAGGTGACGTCTGATTGAAATTCATCAGTAGCGAACGGAGGAGCAGTACAAGACATTGTGTCGTTGTGTTTGTGAACCAGTCTTGAGAGAGTACAATAAAACAATGACAAGCAAAAAGAGGAACTTGGTGGGACTGGGATCAATGAAATTCTAGCAGAACGAACAGCTCCTCCAAGTCACGACAGATGACTTACAGCATTGCAATCAAACTTCACAATCGATCCGTTCGTTAAATCCTCAAAATCTATTTAAACAATTTTTTAGTGGTGCAAAACTTGAAATATGGCTTAAAAAAAAGAAAACATTTGAGTAAACTAAACCTTTTCGTCTGATACTTTTCAGGGTTGAAAACGTCAGAACATAGATCGAAAACTTTACGCTAGGAAACATATAAACCAAGTTGTGGAACGAAATAGGGCAATCAGAAACGCGAGCACATGACTGTTGAGGTTGCCCAACCAGTGCCGCTTGCCTATATGGATTGTTACCAATGGAATCTTTAAGTGGAAATGAACTCCTTTTGTCTACCCAATAGCTGCAGACAAAACAACCCTCTATCCTGGAGTCATAGAGCATGCGCTCATTTCTTTTAAACTAGATGTAAAATCACTATACACAAAAATTTCTCAAGATGAGAATATCAAAGCTTCCCTCGATGCCATCAAAAATCATTGTGGGGAGACTACCCCACTGCATGTAAAATAAAACAAATGGCAATATTTATACCCAAACAAAATTATATTGCCCTCTCATTTTGATAAGAACAATTTTATAAGAACCCGAGCCATTAAATTGGTCAAAAGGGATCTTAACAGGCCTATGCCTTGCCTATATTTAGAAATAACTGATCGAAAATGGCTAGCGAATGACAGTTTGGGATCTAGTATGGCGCCGAGTTGTTATTGCTCTTGAACTCTCATTACTGGAGCTCCATTAAACAAATGGAAGGATGATCCATTGGAATTATCTGTGTTTAAAAAATAATTTCTACTTTCTACTGCTGGTTGGGTCAGGATTAAAGAACATTTGCCACCTAAGCGCCCACAGTTCAATAATGCAGCATATCAACTAATGCAGCATATGCAGCTTAAAGTATAGTAGCATCTAGACGTAAGCATGTATTGTAAACAATTTTATATGATATAAAAAAACTGCGTAGATTGATGTGTCATCGGCAAATAAGTTTTCCTTACACTTTAAGCCATCAGTCAAGTCATTGATATAGATAAGAAAAAAAGAGGACTCAAGATAGAACCTTGGGGAACACCGGCTGAAATATTACGCCATGTAGATGCTTTGCCATTCAAAACAGTACGCTGTTTTCTATTGTGAAGGCAACTTTCTTCAAATTATTTTTCCTATTTTCTTCAAACACTTTTCCTTCGCCTCCTCAACTAAATTTGATCCCTGAGATATCACATTGGCAATGACCTCTTGCTTGCATTCTGGCTGTTCATTTCTGATGAAAGTCTTATAAGCCCTGTTCTTTTTCATGATGAAGTTTCTAATTGACTGCGCTATCCAAGGTGCCTGGCGAGATCTGAATGTGATTATTTTGTTTGGTATAAAGTTGGAAAGGATATTCAGTAAAATTTCATTCAGGTGTTTTTAACTTGAAGATCTAGGGATTTTGACTTCAGAGAAATTGTTTTAACACTTGCAGTGATCTTTGATTGCAGTGATCTTTGTTCTATCATAGCCCAAATTCTGCGTTTATATCGAGGTGGAAACATAATTTTTATACTTAGTTTACCAAAAACAATCTGACTGGTTTTTTAAAGACGGGTAAGACCTGATTCAAGAAATAAATTTGGCTGATCATTGTATAAAACATCAATGCAAGATTGAGAATTTCCAGTTAAGTGTGTTGACTAGAAAACTAATATCGTTTGGGGCTGAAAAGAAGTTGAATTTGTTTGGTGTCAAGCAGCTTGAAATTCTTGTTGATAAAAATCTCATCAACACAACGATGAATTATAAATATTTAGATCCTATTTTAACATTTGCGTCATGAAACCTTTAAAAAAGTACCTAAAAAGCTGAGTGAACATGATAAGAGAAATAAAAATAGTCTGACATTAGATGCGGCTTAAGCATTATGCAGGACGATGGTTTTACCAGTTTTTACATATTGCAGTACTTTGTCACTGGGATTACCTGATTCTTGACTAAAAAGGATCAGAAGCATCGATAATAGAGGAAAGAATGTAAATTATCTACACTGGGAAAGAATTTGGAAACATGAACTGTAGTATTCGATTGTCTTAGCAATAACATTTGTGAGCTCTTGGCAGGGGTGCAGTGGGACTTCGCACTTTTTGGGGGTGCGAAGCTGAAAATTTTCCGATAAAACTATGATTTTTCCGACAATTTTTTTCTCAATACATTCCTTGAAGATTACCCTTGCTGCATATACTGCAACACTTGATACTACAATATCACGAATGGATCTGGAAATCGTTAACGAATGGATCGTTCGTTATACACCTTCAAGTTCAACAATGGCCTTTATTCTAACAAAACTTATCAAATATAAAACGCTATGAACAAAACTATAACTATTTGTAAATTTACACCCTACAAGTCTTCTCGCTAAACTAGACAATAAACTGTCAAGTCAGTGTTTATAGCTGTTTATAGCAAAAAGTTTTTTTGGCAAGTTTTAAATCGCATCATAATTACTTTGCATTTATTTATGCTAAACCTTAAATAGATATAACGCCTCCAAAAAGATAGTTTTCTTTCAACTGAATTTATATAAACTGTTACTCAAGCAGCATCTTTCTCAAAAGAGGCGTGGCAGCATACAAATCGATGATGTCACCATAGTCTATCGACTGTAAAATATCACTTTCGACGTTGATTGTTATCAGAGAGGAAAGGCGGTCTTGTCCCATCGTTGACCGTAGCCGATTTTTTACAATCCTCAGCTTTGAAAAAGCTCTTTCATAGTTTTTGAACCTATTGGCAAAGGAAAGAGAACTTTGTAAAGAAGGACCAGCTGTGGAAAGGCACTTTGCAGGTTATACTTATCATCAACTGAAGAACTGAATGGAACTGAAAAATGTTCTCTTTCTTCTGCAGCCGGGAGAGGGTTGCTCTTTTCTCTAACTTTCCAAAATTTACAGTAATTATTGGCAAAAGAGCTGTACTCATCTCTTAATTTTTTGTCATCCAGGCCGTAATTCTTCGCAACCTTTTTGAATTACACTGCACACAAGGCAAAATCTGTCAAAATTGCCTTATGAGACGTAAATATTGTATTCATTGAGCTGATAGCTGTATCCACTATCACGATGATATACGGATTCCCTATTTCCCTCTAATTCATCTATGCAATTTTCCCCTGGCATCTTTTTCTTTCTGCGTATTCGTCGCTCGACAAAATTTTCCTCTTCTAAGTCATGGCGAAAATAATAACTTTTTGCGTCTTCTACAACACCAGCGAATTCATTTCGGAATGAACTGAGTTGAATTTAAACTGTCGGAAATGGGAGTTTATAAAATAACTGAGACCAGAGCGTTAATTTCCTTTACAAATTTCAGCAATGCGATGATTCCGATAAATACTCTAATGAAAATAAGTAGGAAGGGTTGAGCATGCCCTTTTTTACGACAGGTTAAAAAAAAATGCGACCTTTTGGACAGGATCGATGAAAACCTTACATTTTGTCTAATATTCCAAATTTTCCGACAAACGTTGGATTTTCCGACAATCCGACAAATTTTTTGCCAGGGGGGGGGCTGTGCCCCCCTGCCCCCCAGCCACTGCGCCCCTGGCTCTTGGAAACAACCATATTGATGCACCAGGAAACAGTCAGAATTCAGTGAAGGAAAGTCAAGCTTGAAAATGTATGCAATTTGAAACTTGAATTTTCGGTTTGATAAAATAGAAAAACGTCAATGGCTCGAAAACTCTTTAGAGTTATTTTCATATGTCCATCAACACTTTTGGATTACCATTGATATACTTTCAGCAACATTTATGATTTTTTTTAAATATAGTATCTTCATATCAATAAATATTTGCAATTAATTGCTGAAAATATGTATATATGAAATGAATTGGCAAAGGAATAAAAATGAAATGAGATAATAGAAATAGAAGGCAACCCTGATGTAATGAACCAAGACGAAGATGTTTATTGCTGAAGATCAAGAAGATGATGTGATGGAAGCTGTTGATCAAGTTTCACTGCTCAAAAAAACCAAGTTGGTGAATACAGTTAACGCCAGAGCAGTGGTGTCGTGGAGGGGGCTCATGCTGGCTCAGGCTTATTTGTTAAAATTTAGAGAGACTATGGGGGCGTGGCCGTGAAATTCAATTTCCAGTGCCGTGATATACGGATTCTCGTTTATTTTACACGTGATTGCGTGATGCAGAATGGATATCTGGTACCCCCATTGTAGTAGAGACTGTGCAATTAGATTATAAACTAAATCAGAGCTCTAGGTCTCGCCATGGCCGTCGCTAGCAGGAGGGGGTTCGGGGTTGCGGAAATCATTGATACTGCGAAGGTGCATTCTCGACTTTTGGCGGGTGATACCATTCCGAGGTTTCGAACAAAAATACAACATTCCAACATTGAGATTATAAGATTCCAAAATGCAGAAGTCTAGTCGACTAAAAAGAGAATTAAAGCAATTATCCGAATCACCATCCCATGGAATTTCTTGTTGGACAGTTGGAGAAAAAGTTGATCAATTAGAAGCAAGTAAGTGTTTGTAAAAATCGTCTCGTCTTTTAAAAATAGCACGGCTTTTGCAATGTACGAAGAATGTGGAGGAATGGTACTTCGATATTATGAATTGGCGATGTGGACAAAACTGATGATGATGATGGTTGACGATGATGATGATGATGATGATGATGATGATGATGATGATGATTGATGATTATGATGATGATTGATGATGATGATTATGATGACGACGATGATGATGATGATTATGATGACGACGATGACAATGATGACGACAACGAAGATTCCAAATGTATTAAAAGTCTGAGCTTTTCTAGATGCGCTTCCAGTTTGTTTCCCAGACAACTAAGAACCTTTATGCTCTATGAGATTGCGATTCACAGACTTAAAATACCTAAAAAACGGTGGCATGAGCTATGACTCGCCAAGATTACAGAACTCATTTATTGGGGCTCTGTGAGTGGAACCTAACTGGGAATCTTTTTTTTTATTTGACGAAGGACATTTTTTGCTTGATAACATAACACGAATAATTATTCTTATTCGGTTGCTTTATCAAAATGCGTTTCGCAGATTTACACTTTCTTGATAAACAGCGGGGAATGCTATGACGCAGTAAGTTTACCAAACCCGATCTTTGAATTCCACTATCAACCTTTGCAAGAAAGAGAAATCGATGCGTGCCTAACGATCCCTAATGACCCGCGCTGACAAAACGGTTCCAGCATAATGATCTCGCGGCAGTGCAATTACTTGATTAGAAGGGGAATCTTTCGTACTTAATTGTGAGCAGCCAAACTTTTAAATTCGTTAACTTCCTAGTTGCGAGTGCAAAGATTTCTTCAACTCGGCAATTCAACTATTTGATGAAGAAATGTAATCATAGACCCCAAGATTATTAATTGATTATTCTCGTAACTGTTGGTCTGACCTTACACGTTCCAAATTCCTATTCTTTTACGTTGTTCCTGCACCAAACTATCTTATCCAACATATTGACTTTTTCTTTATATAAAAATATAGGGTCTGAAAAATTTCGAATGAATTTTGGATCAACCCCAGAGAAAATTGAAAAGTCCCTGCAAGCATTTTGCGACAATTTCGCAAAGCCTGGAAATCTTCGAATAACTTTCACCAACTTTGCAAAACTTGCGAAAAACTAAACAGATTTCAAACACTTAACAATATATTTTCCACGACTCATTCATGAAAGCTAATTCTTGCAGAAACTCGTGAAATCGCATATTCCCGCACTTTCTTTTGTATCCCACATAGCAAATTGCAAATTATACGTCTAATTACGTTGACGCTTGACAGGATGAAAGCACCATTCTCGATTACGAGAAGTTTCTGATCTATTCTGGCTACCGTTCAACATGTACGTGCAGAACCAATTTTAACTGCCCAACGTCACGAGCAAAACTAAAAGTGATTGGTCGAATCTAAGAGGATGACCACAAAGGGGATCTCAGGCTAGCAGCCGAACCCAATTTAATAGCACGATTATAGACCTAAGTGTCGATTAGCGAACCTCAATTGACCACTTAATCGGGAAACTCATAATTCTCGATTGTTCGTTTGGGAAAATTGGGAAAATCCTTTGATTTTGGCATTCTATGCCTGCATTGTTTCGATTGTCTCCCGCCTTTGAATTCGGCTTCTATGTTTCCATTGTTGAACTCATCAAAATGCCGATCCATTGTTACACAATTGGCAACAATCTACATATATATATATATATATATATATGGATGCCCATCGAGCTGAGCAAAATCCCCCCTTCATGTACTCATTCTTCGTACATAAAAAGGGTTCTAACGCAAAATGCAGACATTTTTTATCTGGTATGGTGCCATTTAATATCGTATCGTTGGTCGAGTTTCAACACAGACAACTGTTTTCCAACACTTCTTATTGTTTAATTGTTATTTTTAAGTCTCTACAAACCGTATAATTTTTGGTTTGGGATATTAGAATAGTGAAATTAGAAGTTTTGTTTGTTGATTATGAGCATTAAGCTGAAGGGCAACAATTAAAATGAAATGAAGGCTCATCGTTATGAACAAATCCAAATTCATCTCCCATCCAGACTATTTATGGACCAAGAACACTAAACACGCTGGTAGAAATAGAAACTGCACTTGTACCCATCATTATTTTTTCAACCAATATTTGTTTTGTGTTTTTCAGCTATCATAGGACAGGAAGGCACCCCTTATAGTGGAGGAGTTTTCAAGCTTTCAATACTAATTCCTGAAAGGTAAATAAACAAATATTTATCTAAAACATGAATTGTATATTAATTATCAAACTTCATTGGATAAATGATATAGTATATAATAATTTTAATACTTAAATAAACCTATACTGCAACTCAATTTATAATGGAATGCATAACTTTTTTACAGAACAATCTTGATGACTTGATTTTGTCATAGACATTCATATGCTGTTCTTATATTTCTGAATAATTTTATCTCTAGATATCCTTTTGAGCCTCCTCAAGTCAGATTCAAAACTCCAATTTACCACCCAAATATTGACACAGCTGGCAGAATCTGTCTTGATATACTGAAAATGCCACCAAAGGTAGCACCATCTATTTACAATATCATTTTGTCTTCAGAATTTGTAGACCCTCTGGAAAACAAATTACTGTGAGATGGGATTTTTACTGGCTACTTGTGCTAAACATTCTTCGTATTTGTATAGTTACCTAACAGTAGCTGAAAAACATGTGGAGGCATTGAAGTGAGATGGCTTAACCAATTTCCACAAAAAAGTTTTAATGTTTTTTGAGCAACAAGCTGATTTTGTATACCAATCACTAAATGTTGAAATTGTATAATGATCAGCTTTAAGGTGAAAACTGGCAGGAATAAATAATTACTTGGTTTTCATACAAGCGCACAGTACCTTTTGTATTAAGCTTAGTAAATACTTTGTAGCAAAAATGATTTTGGAAACCTTGTTGAGTTCCTGCTGAATGATTCAGAAAGATAACAGAGTCAGATTCAGAATCATAACATTATTCTGCTAAAAGATTAAAACTATTTTTTAAAATTTGCCAGAACTCCTCTATTTCACTTTTTGTATCAAATTTCAGGAAATGATTAACCCATCTGATCTTCAGACCTAGGTTCCTGGTCTTTTCAGCTTTATGGCAACCTATTTATTAAGCTCATTCATATAATGGAGTATGAATAATTGTCAGTTTCCAATTGTCATTATTTATAACTTCTCAAGATGCCTTTTTGTATTCCCATTTGCATCAAAGTTCTTCTCTTTGTTAATGCAAATGATTTATTGTCAGGGAGCCTGGAGGCCAGCACATAATATCTCAACATTACTGAAATCAATCCAAGTTTTAATTGCTGACCCAAATCCTGATGATCCACTCATGATAGAAATTGTAAGAATGTGATTTTAAATTTCAAAACTTCAAATTCATATTTATTTTATTACCAATCAATTCTGCATGCAATGCTGAAATCAAAGTAGGGGCAAAGTATTAGGCCTGTTCAGTTTCAGAAAAATTATTGCCTTTTTTCAGCTTGGCCTATGTCAGAAATGAGCCCAATGCTGTAGCATCAATAGCACCCACCTTAATCAGGCCCAGCCTACATAGAATTTTTAAATAACCACAATTGGAATAAGATACAGACTTTTTCATTTCACATGGGCAACTGCCCTGTGAACATTTCTTCACAAAAAGGCATAATGCAAACATTTTACTTAAAAACATTAGTTAAAAAGTTACTGAACTATAGACTAAGACACAAGGAAGAAAATTAAAGGATTATAAGAAGGATCAATTGATTAGAATAGCTCTCTTAATAAGTAAACCAACAAAGAGAGTGCTCTTTCAACTTTCTGCTTCTTTTTCAAGCATCATAACTTTACCAATCATTGCTGATACATCTAAAAAACTATTATACTGTTATGATTTTGGTTCCTAGTCATCAGAATTAAAATGCAATCGACAATTGTTTGATCAAAAAGCCAAACAGTGGACTCAGAAATACGCAACAGAAAATGACCTGAAAGCAAGCAAGGTAATTATCTTCACAATATTTTTTGTTTATTTGGAAACACTGTATGTATTGAATTTATCATTACTTTCTTATTACAAAAGGGTACTTTTTGGAACATTATGAGAATACTTTGGCTTCAGAGTTTATGTAGCCTTGAGTTTTTTTCGAGTAAATTAATTTCATCTTTTAAGAAAGCTAATTGAAAGGAATGAAAAATATTTATCAGCATTGTTATGTGCCTGTGTGTTTATATTGATGATTAAAGTCCCCTGTTTGAGGGTACATTTTCATTTCTCTTAGCTACAAGGCAAGCTAATTAGCTGTGAATGTTTGTTAAAATTGACAAAGTTTGGTTTTCCCCTCTGATTGCAGCCCCTTGCTGGTCCACCGGAATCTCACAAGGCAGAACCAGAGGCTGCTGTCAAATATGATAGAAAGAAGCAAGCTTCAAAGAGGCCAGGTGAAACTACTGACACATCCTTACTGAACAAAAAAAATAGAATTGGTGGCAAACTTTTTGAGCTTTAGCTTTTTGTGACAAATTACAATGGTTGAACTTTGTAGTTTCTTTGTCACATTCACATTTCAAGTTTCTTGGAATATTTAATTGATTAGTTCATAATAAGCTTTTATTTAAAAAAGTGAAATAAGTTGTGCATCATCACTGGTCTTAAAATTTGGGTTTCTGAGGTACATACATTTCCTTTTTGTAAGTGATGTGTGTTTAACTATATGATATTATAGTGGGTAACATAACCCTGTTTATCCAGCTTAAAATCCCAAAAACAGCTTTGTGCAAAATATCTATTAAGATTAAATACAGAAAGGGTCCCAGATGAAAGCTTTTTGAAACACAGGAATCTGCATTACCTAATTCTCATCACTTTGCATCTATTTCAAAGAACTGTTGTGAATAAGAAGGTAAATAATAAAGTTTATGATTATTTCATAATACAGTAATTTCATATCCTTATGTAGTTATTATTTTCCAATGTTGTGCATATTATATGAAATCAATTGTACATATTTTTGATACATATGTTGGTCTGAAAAAACCAAAAAATCATGTTGCCAACTAAATGTGTTTTTATAAATACCAAGGGCAGTACAGAACATCTTTTCAACATAGAAAGGCTATTTGGCCAAAAACGTCCATGATGATGATGCCTGTTCTTTATGCAGGCTAACTTTAGTGTGAAGGAGTTACCAAGTTATGACATCTTTCACTTTTGAGAAAAACAGACTATTAAGATTAACCACTCTTTGTTTGTATACTCTATGTATGCCCCCTCCCCGGGTTCTTTTTAAGGGTGCAGAAAAGTTTGCAAAACGTTTACGAGTAAGTTCAAATAATGTTAACAACTACAGACATTAAACCAATGAAGACATACCTATGTTGAAGTATGAGCTTGATGCACTCAAGAGCTAGTTTCATTTTACAGATGTATTTTTGGCTTATCTACATAGACAAAAAACTACATACATTTGTCGCAAATTACCTCCATATACATTAAGCATATTCACAAGAATAATAAAACACGCTGATCAACTGAAACCAAAAAAATATAAGCTACACGTGTCATTACCGAAAAAATATTATCTCAGAGCTGAAACTTGCAAAAATCTGCCTACTGTCAACTGACAATCTTTTCAGCAGTTGTCTGTTGGCATAAATAACTAAAAAACGCATTAATAATGTTTTTCATAAATTGGCTAGCTGCCTAAACAATTATGCCTTTTCGAGATTATTACATTTATATTTATGCAGTGCTTGGGTGCTTGGATATCTTCTCTATGTCCAAAAACCAATTTGATATCGTCACCCAGCAATTATTGGGATAAACCTTGTCATCTTGAGTCTGTGTGCATTGGTTGAAAAATCCTATTAAAAGAGGACTGGATGATCTGTTAAAATCGAGAAAACAAGGAGTTGATGTACCGAAAAACATGGTGCTATTTGAGCAACTGAATATGTAGGAGTACCGTAGGGTCGTTCATATAATAACATACATGCCCAGTTGAAATTCAACCACCGATTGACTGAAAAATCGAATTTCCAACATTCGGGAATGAAGCTTGGGACAAAAAGCACCACTGGAAACAATTCTATGAAAGGCCAATTTATTAACAGCAAGCATTCACTTTCTCAAATCTTTTCAAACAGCTTACGATTGTGTGCATTTGTTCATTATCTTATTCGAGATTAAGTCATTCTCCACGTGTTCCTCAGGTACGAAAAATTCAATAGTTTCTATATTTATGTTGTACGGAAACTGAATTTATTGAAACGTTCCTATGTTTCAACTATTCTCTTTACAATTGGTGAAAATAGCTGTAAAAGTATTTGGTCACGTAAAAGGGCGTTTGAATTTAACTTAAAAACATCCGATGGTCTCAACACGGGCACGAGTGGCCTATATAATGAAATCCTGACGTAAAATCTTGTCACTGGCAACGACTATGAAAGACAAACAATATTGAAAGTGTTCTTTTCAACAACCTGTAAGATTGCAAAGACCGTTGTAAGAACTTTAAAACAAGTTAAACAAAGTTTAAAATTATTAAATAAGAAAGTAATAGATACTCACTAAAAACATATACTTACAGCTTAAGGTAGGCTCCTGGACAATCGAAGATAGTATATCGAGGAAAATGTTACAAATGCCCCTTGAATCATCGGGACCCATCAGTTGCTCTCTTTCGAAAAAAGGGGAGGGGTCGTAGGTTACTAGTGCTTAGCAGGACGAGAGCTTATTTCTGGAGGTGGTTCCTGGGGCTACTAGAAATGTATGACAACATAACAACGGCATAACATAATATAGATAAAACCAGATGATTCTAAAGTCACAATTTATAAGTATTTTCGACAGTGCTGAGTAAATGCAAAGGAAAATATTATTTTATCTTAAACGTGTGCGAGACTCGAAATCCAAAGAAAACTTGCTATCTTGCAAAAATGACCATAAAAAACAAAGTAAGATTTCGTTAAAGCCACATTATCACGATTCGATTAAAACCATTTTACCAGGCTAGAATGACCGGTAATGGAATAGCATCTATTTGCAAAAATACTTACTTTTTGCATTTGACATAGAATGTATTTGTTTTGAAATCAATTTAAGGGGAAATAAGTGGGCTCTTTTCAGTGTTTACCGACCACCGTCCCAATCACAAGATCACTTTTTCGAAAATCTTGGCAAAGCAGTTGATCATTACAGCGAAAAATATGACAAATTTTTATTACTTGGGGATTTTAATACAGTAGAGACAGATCAACAGATTCGTACGTTTATGAATAGCTATGACCTCAGAAATCTGGTAAAGGAGCCAACCTGTTTCAAAACTGACAATCCACGGTGTATTGACCTAATCTTAAGCCTGGTTCCCACTTGGTCGTTTGGGTCGTTTGGGTCGTTGGAAAATATCCAAACGACTGAAAAGACACAGTGGAAACGTACCTGCCAACGACCCAAAATTCCCGAAAGACTCAAACGACAGTTGTCGCAGAGATAGAAAAAATTCTATCTCCGCGACCCAAAATACCCGGGCATGAATGATTTTTGCAAGTGGAAACCGACAAACGACTCAAACGACTCAAACGACCCACGCTTTAGTAACTTTTTCTTCAAGAATAGGATATTTTCTTGTAACCGCGTGTTTGACTAGAACAAGAACAAGATAGCTGAATATTTCACAGAAAGCTTTACGGAAGAAGTTCAAAAATACGAGTGCCACTATAACAATTACTGGAAATAGTTTAAAAATAAATACAAAAATATCAAATCATGGCAAGCTATTGCACTAAAATTTAGTGATCTAACATCGTCGTCTGTACAAAGTCACCAGAGGTAGAAATAGTTGACTTGGCAACACCAGTTTTTGTTTATCAAATGCTATCATCGTTCCTTCCACGCATGCCGCCAAAATTGAATGAGCGATGCATGGTGCAAGCAATGAACAGCATCAACAACAAACGACTCGAAAGACTCAAACGACTAAGTGGAAACCAATGTGCTCTTTGGGTCGTTCGTGTCTTTCAAGAACGACTCTGACGACTCAAACGACCCAAACGACCAAGTGGGAACCAGGCTTTAGCTTACAACATACCACCACTTCCGAGACAGGTCGCTCTGACTTTTACAAAATGTTAGTCACAGTTTGAAAACAACGTACCAAAAAGCTGGACCTATTGTTATTAAAGGGCCTCTTCAGCCAAAAAAAAATTTTTTTTATTGCCTAAAAAGTTAGCATCTGGTGCGTGTATTATGGCAAGGTTGTTGTGTTTGCAAAGTTTCAATTAGTTTAGAAGTTATAAGGCTTTAAAGTTGCACCTTTCCGAGAAAAAAACGACAAAAGCCGAATCAGTTTTGTGACATTCTGACGTCACAGTGTGCGGCTCTCGTTCGTCATGAATTTTTTATATATCTTCCACCGAATCGTGAAGGAGTCATGGTCACGCGTTGATAACTGCATCTAAATCTACAGCAGGTGCTTTTTTAGGATCGAAAAATATTAAATGTTTACAATTATTCTAAGTTTGCGGGTCGGAATGTGTCCATGCTGTGTCACGACTTTTTTTTGATCACCTGTGTAGGCCCACAAAGCTACTGCTTCCTGTTGCAGCTCTTCCCTCGCGTATAATTATTCGAAATTGACACTTCAGTTGTTTTCCAGAAACGATGAACAACTAAAGGCTTCAGAATTGATATCTGAAATGCTCAAACTAAAAGCCGGTGGAACAGAACTGAGAGTACCAAATATTGCATTGTGCAATTTGCGAATCGCCGACGTTCGATTCGGTTTGAGGCGAGACTAACGAAATACACCCGAAAACTTTTTGTCGGCTAATTCAATTCAAATATCGAAATGCAAGAGCTTATATCTCACAAACTGTAAAAAATATCGAAAAACAAATAACGAATTCGTGATCAGCAGGTTCAATTCCTTTAGATTAGCCAATAAAATGCAATTGCAAATTTTGGCTGGAGAGGCCCTTTAAAAATAGAAAATATAAGAAATTTTCGGAGCAGACTTTCAAACGAGAACTTAAGGAAGGGTTGGCTAGCATTAAAACAACTGATTTAGACTACAGTTCTTTTCAAAATTGCTTTGAGAAAGTATTTGATAAGCATGCACCGATGAAGAAAAAATACGCAAGGGCCAATGATGGTAATACGTGCCGAGATACACGGCGGCATGTAGAGTTTTAATTATAATGTTGATTTTATATTTGATTTAAAGCAGTAGTAAATAACATGTCTTGAATCTCAATACCTAATAAGGACAAACGTATGGAAAATAACAATCGACAAGTCTCAGTGAACGTGATTATCTAAGTTGAAACTCGTAAGAAGTTAGTTAGTTGGTTGGAGTAGAGTTGAAGTAATGATGGTGATCGGCGAAAATGTGAAACAGAATATTGATGGATTTGATACAAAATAGTTACACAAAATGGTGATATTTCTCTGAGTCTTCATCTTACACTTCGTTTATCATTAAATATTAAGATAGGGGCACCGCTAGAAATAGTGGTCCCAACAGATGGTCCCTTCATGAATCGAGTTCTTCGTAAAGCTACTATGCTGCGTTCTAGGTTGAAAAATAGATATAATAAAAGCCGCACATCTGAACATTGGGAAGCGTTTCTTCAACAGTGTAATTTGTGTGTCAAATTATTCAGAACGGAAAAAAAGAAATTTCTTTAAAAGTGTGAATACTTCTGACATTACTGACAACAAGAAATCTTGGAAAACTGTAAAACCTGTCCTCTCCGATAAAATTCGATCGAGTTCAAATATTACCCTTATCGATAATACTACGATGATTTCCAACGATAAGGAAGTTGCAGAAACCTTGAACGATTATTCTATATCGATTACTGACTCATTAGGTCTGACAGAGAGCAGGGAGGTTACCATAAGTACAAATGGTTTATCAGATCCTATAGAAAAGGTTATAATGAAATATTCAAGACACCCAAGCATTAGGGAAATTCGCAGTTTTTGCTCAAATTAACGGCTACTTTAAATTTCAGGTTACTTTGGAACAGATGCACTCTGAATTTGGGGGGCTTAATCCTGAAAAGGCAACAACCTTTGTTAATATACCCGCGAGAGTGCTGAAAAGTGACAGCTTGGAGTATGCTATCTGTGCGCCAATATTGAAACCGGTGGCTATTGTTTTCTGAAAACCTGTGAAAACCGGCACCCATATGTTTCCCTCATGCGAGATTTGACAGAGTTCCCAGCTTGCTACTTCATCATTTATCTCAAAGTATCAGCAGCCATTCGATGTGACAGCTTGGAGTATGCTATCTATGCGCCAATATTGAAACCGGTGGCTATTGTTTTCTGAAAACCTGTGAAAACCGGTGTGATACTAAAATCTGCGTGGCAACCAAATCTGCATAATGCATCTTGCCCTGATGCAGTAGCCCACGCAGATTCTGGTAACCACGCAAAAAAAAGTATTACACCGGTGTACTATGCGTTTCTGCATGGGCATGCGTTTCTGCATGGGCCGAGACGCATATGCGTTTCAAGTGTTACAGTGTAATGGCGGACATGCAGGGCCTAGCTGTGAATGGCGTGAAGCGCATATGCGTTAGACAGGACACAAATGTGTTTCAACGGATGTGCGTTTTCTGACAACTTTTAATAAAGGTTTCTGAAATGATCCATCGCCACAAAACTTTAAAAACATATTTAGACTTGTAAGTTAGAAAACAGCAACTAGTTAATATAAAGCTAAGAATATGTGATATAATCATGCGTTATACGAATAAAATTATGCAGATTTACACAAAGAGCTTCCTCCAAAATGATTCCCATGATTCAAAGCCAACGATATAAAATTAGTTGCTGATTTACGACTATTCTCGATAACGTGGCTAAAGAACCAGATAAACTTGTTACACAGGTCAAGGAATCAAATTCTGGGCAATTTTGAATAAATCACAGATAGTATAGAATTCCTACCATTCTGATAAAGAAAGTAAACCAGTAAAAGTTGATTTACATCCTCCACAGCTCTATTTTCCGTAATATTTTAAGGTTTGCAAATGAATAAGGCTGAAGATGCTTACCAATCACTTACAAAAATATAAAATTTACTAATAAAAACATAAAATTAGTGAAATACTTGTTACAATAAAAAAATCAAAATTTGAATAAAATATCTTACACTATCTGCTTTTGCAAGCTTTGCATTTATGGGCTTTTATAAATATATATTTTGAATATCTAAAGGGAGTCTGAGTTTTTCAACTCTGGTTATAGTGTTTCTCGTACTTTTTCCTACAAAAATAATGGTTTGATATTGATTCCAAGGCAAGTTGACAATTGTAGTTCATCAAGAGACGTTAGATTGTGAGGAATTTTTTCCACCAAAGCTAGCTTTATGAAGCTAGAACATAGATGTGAGTTTGTAGACCTCTACCAAAAGCAAATACAGGTTCATTTGATGAAGGCTTAAAGAGCTATCAGTTTCAAATAATTTTTCAAATCTAGAAGCATCACAAATATATGCTATTATAAGCCCCTCTCTTAAATTCACTTTATCTTATTGTTCAAATTTTCTTTCTCGAAACACCCAAATCAGCAGGCAATAGCCAATCTGAGACATCAACGGTTTTAGTTTCACAGGCTCCATGAAAATTGAAATACGAGTTGAAGCATGACTAGATGTTTTACAGAACAGTTGGACATGTTTTTAAAGCTCGATTTCTTATTCAGATTGATGCCTTATTGCTTCTTCTCATCACCGAGGGTGTCTCGATCGAAGGATGTAGGGTTTGGGTTGTCACAGCCCCGCAATAGTAGTTTTATAGGAATTTTCAGGGAAAATCAGTTCAATGGAAGAAAGATTGTAAGTAGTTCAGAGCCCCTACGTCTTCAGAGATCAATAAAGAATCTGAAGCAATGATTGTTACTCCATTGGTTAATATGATATTCAGGGACAGATTTACCAGGACGGGGCTGTAGGGGGTGCGCCACCCCTCAATATTTTTGTGTCCTTTGGTAAATTTTGTTTTGATTCGGTTGAAAATATTTTTGGTGGTTAGTAGCTAAAAAATAATTGAACAATTTACTTTTTTTATTTCCTAAACTTCTTCACCTTGAAGCGAGAAGTTTAATTTCTAAAATGGGCCTTTCCATCATTTTCCAGTTACCTGAAAGGTGTGGCACCAATATCCAATCAAACACCCCCCAATCATTGCCGCTAAAATCCGTCCCTAATGATCGCATAACACTGAAATTCTCTATGCGTTTCTGCATGGGCTAAGCGGATGGTAGTTGTTCATCTTATCAATAGCATGATTGTAATTTCATTTTCTGAGTTTATCATGTCAAGAGGTTTATTCATTTGAGTATTTGATATTTAGTTACTTTTACTAGAACTTTGATTTCGTTTTGTATTGTTTATATTGGATGTGCGCGCTGTGTACCCCACAGCTAGGCCCTCCATGTCCGCCATTACACTTTAACATTTGAAACGCATATGTGTCTCAGCCCATGCAGAAACGCATGCCCATGCAGAAACGCATATGACACCGGCACCCATATGTTTCCCTCATGCGAGAAAAACCGGTGACCAAATAGCATACTCGATATCGATATCCATAGCTCGAAAGGATGGACGCTTTAAAACAAAATGATACAAAATGGAATACGGATGCAAATAAGAATCTGAGGTTTTAGATCAAGGGGACTAGACGTTTTTTCTCGGAAAAATTCGTAAAAATTAGAATCGAAGTTGCAAGAAGAGGATCAAAGGCCATGCTCAATGGAGTAAAATTCTGACATATTAGATGAAAATGTGGGCAAGAACACACAGGGCTGTAATGGGGTAAAGCACCCCAAAACCGGTCAAAATTTTGGCTAGATCTGCGCCTGGTTCTTGGTCCCCTCTTCTTTAACATCTTCATAAATGACTTACCGCATTTCTCAATGGATACGGTTATCTGCAATTACGCGGATGATACAACTCTATATGCGTGCGATAAAAATTTAATATTGTAATTGCAAGGCTAGAGAATGATTCAAGTATAACTATCCAATGGTTCGCTGATAACTTTATGAAGTTGAATACAAACAAATGTCATTTACTTATTCTTGGCAGAAGTTCTAATCAGCAGGTCAAAGTTGATGTAGGAGATTCTATCATAGAAAACTCGGAAGAGGAGAAGCTACTAGGTGTTGTGATAGACAAAAGACTCAGTTTTGAGACACATATCAGTAAGTTATGTAAGAAGGCTGGTAGCGAACTCACCGCTCTCGCTCGCATATCTGGATACATGGACGCTAATAAACTTAAAATCTTAATGAGAACATTTTTAATTAGCCAATTTGAATACTGTCCACTGGTCTGGATGTTCCACAGTAGGCACTTGAATAGTAAGATTAATAGAATACACGAAAGAGCTCTGAGAATTGCATACAAAGACTATGATTCTAGCTTCAACACTCTGCTAGAAAATGATGACTCGGTAAATATTCATGTAAAGCATCTGCAAAATCTTATGATTGAAATGTTTAAAACAAAGGGAAATATCAACCCTCCTTTTATGAGGAGCGTCATGCTGTTTATAATTTGAGAAATAATAATGAATTTATGGTACCAAGGGTAAGAACAATCATTTATGGAACCGAAACTATCAAATATCGAGGGCAGCGTCCTTGGCTCTTTTCACCTCAGCATATAAGGAATGCTCAAACTATTAATGAATTTAAGAAAGAAATTAAAAACTTGACGTTCGTGCCACAGCTTGGTTTTTTATAATTTCGTTTTAAATAGCTCAGATTTTTATAATACTCTAAATTCTGTTTTTAATGGATTATTATGTAAATAAAATTTTATGTATTTAATCTCGTATGTATTTATTTGATGTAGAAGTTTTAATAGTTGGCTTGGATTAGTTCATTTCACTGTAAATAGCTATGTAGCGCCAACTTTAATTAAACTGATTATTATTATTATTGATGAGACTGGGCTGCGGCGAAATATCAGATATGAATCCAGGCTTTGATTTTACTGACCACACTGTCAAAACTTTATAGAAAGTTTAGCAGGTGCACGCCTGTAATTCACGCGCCCTCAATGCAAGCTTGTATTGTAAATGAATCATAATTCTTGGCATGTAAAATGAGTATTCAGAAAGTTTAAATATGATCGATCAATCGGCTTGTGATCTGAATGATCAATTGTATTCTCATGCACGAAAACATCTTACAAGCAAATACCTGAAAGCTTTCAGCAGCACTTTCAAGATGCACCCGAATTTAGCCAGGTTTGTATAAGCTGTATTTGTATAAAAGTAACGACCGGTTGGCGTCCCTTAGCAGCACGGTATGTCAGAGTATCTATGTTTGTATCTATGGAGCTACCATTAAAACATATCAATTAAGATAAGAGTAAGCAAACTTTTAACTTCGAAATAAACTCGGGTTTTTTCTGGAGGGCAATTAGGCTAGAATGGCGTATAACGCGCAAATAAAAGTTTTTCTTACACCTTACATTCTTAGGCCATGGGTGTAGCTATTGGGGGTGTGGGGTTGTCATCCCCTCTAATATTTCCAAACAGTGGTACAGTTAGGGCAAACTTTTGGGAATAAAAGGTCCGGCCATTGGAAAGGGTTTCTTATCCCTTGACATACAAATTTAAATCACATATGAAAAACTTAAGCAAAGATAATTATTCATATTTGTTATTTATAATCAATTGAGAATATATCAAATTAACTTATTTTGTTGAAGTCCTAATTAATTAAAATTTCAGGAATTTACGTAAAACGGGATATCGAGTAGGAATATTACAGTCTTTGCTGAAAATGGTAGAAAGATGTTGATTAATTTTAAAATTGAATGACACCTGGAGCCTTGTTCCCAGTTCGTAACTATGTAAAATTGTTGGATATTATTGTCTTCTATAGCACGTTTGGAGTTTTTTGCATCATCTTAAACATGTTCCTGCATTCAGTCAACGGTAGAATCCTGCGCAGATCTTGTGGAGACTACGCAAACTTCTCCTATGTAGAGCAGGATAAAGTTTTGCAGGGAGAGAAAATAACAACAGTAATTGTTCCATCCGAAGAAGAATGCGAACTTGCCTGTGTTGATGAGCTGCAATGCAAGTCAATAAACATAGAAAAGAGAAGGAATGCCAGACAGTGCGAGCTCAACAAACGCTCTACTGCAGATGCTTCAGACGGGGTAGTGCTAACGCCAAAGCAAGGTTGGGTGTACAAGTCAACGAGCTTTACTGAAAATCTGGTATGGAACGAGCAAAATACAATTAATTTCATTGTACCATCAACGTGTATGATACACTTCATCAACCTAAAGGAACTTTTATGTACCTCGAAAGTCAATCTTTCTCAAATGGATGAGCTAAATTTAGTTCATCAGACTATTAATCGAATTAGCGATGGATGTTTATAAGAAAAACTCCAGGCAAAACGAAATATATTTTTGACTTTCCTGAAGGATTTTGTAACGTTGTACGGGAGCGTTTATTGTTTACCTTTATAATTTGTTTTGTTACACTGTTATTTCAAAGTGGTCCAGATTGCGCAACCGTGAGCTCAAGAGTAGACAAGCTGCAGTTCTTTTGATATATAGACGGATCCTATTGCTGTTTTTAGAAGATGGCAGTGTATGACTAATTCTTTATGAAATAAATTTTCTTCTGCATTGCACAGATTCGCTGAACTGATGCCAGAAGGTACTTTATTGCTTGAAGTTTTTTTGATAATTTTTTCGTTTCCTAGATTGGGCACATGTGCAGGAAACTCAATCCATGCGAACCGGAGCATTTGTGTCTTGATGTTTGCTATTCCCCTGGATACAAGTGCACCCATTGCAAGGAGTTTCCACTTGGCATGCCGTGTGTTAGATGTGAGTCAATAATTAAACAATAATACCTTATTTCTTTAAAGATGATGCATCATATTAACATGGTTGCAGAATTAAAGGGATCGGGGATTGCAATCCTGAAAATTGACGAGTAATCATACAATCGTGATTAGAATCCTGAACATTTTCAGTGAGTCCCAGTTCAATTTGGCCAAGTGGGTTTTGATCGTGATGTCCATCCCGATCCTACGAAATCAGACCGTGAAAACGGTTTGTTTCGCGACCGCTACTGCTCTCAGGCAGGAAAGGCAAAAAACCATAGAACAGTTGATGAGAATCTCACTCACCAAATCACCATGTCAACAGATAACATGTCTTCAAATCTGCGGTCTGAATGTGCGAAATTGGGAGGACCTCAGTGTTCAGGAAAATCTGAATGTTTATTCATTGAAGGCCCTTTACACAACATTGTAAACATACAAAAGGATGAAATTAAGGGAATGTATGAATTCGATTTTGGCGTATAAAGGTAATCCTCTATCGATTTTGCCGTAGAAACGAAAAGATAAGGACAATGATCACGATTTCGATCTTGAAATATCTTTTGGCTAAATTGCTAAATTGTCATGCCCCCCTAAAGACAAAGAAAGAAAAAAAATCTATGGATTGCCTCAGAATTTAAAAGAAGCATTGAAGAGCGTAATAAAATGCAACAACTAGTTTGGAAGAACCAAAAATTATGGCCTAATGCAAGATTCTCTGTAATAAGATAACAGATAACATAAGAAAGACTTTTAGTCACAAAGGACCATTAGGACCTTTTCTCTACAAATAAGAATAACCCTAAACAAATCTGGAAAACTATCGAACCACAAAGACCTCGGGTACCACAAAGATCACTAAAATAAGTCTTTCTGTGAAAAATGAAATAAAAGTGCCAAAATGAGATTTTAGAAAAACTTAATCAACATTTTGTCAGTTTAAGCCCAAAAGTTGCTCGTAAACTAAAAAGGTTAAGCCTTTTGCACACTGTTGATGCCGGTTAGAAATTTTCATCTAAAACAATGGTTTTCGCTTCGAATTGCCTACCGCTTCGGTTTGCACTTCGCTTTTCCAAGTGATTACACGACTTCGGATTGACTTTTGCTTCGCTGTTACACGATCGGATTGTTTTTACAGGGCAGACAAAAAGCCGCTGCAGCGACCGGGCTTAAGCCAGAAGCAACACTGGGCCTTGATTTTTCTCCTTTTTCTGATGCGATAGCTACAAGCAGCTATTTGTTTCATTAACAATTTCCTTCGTGCCAGATAGTTAAGAGTAATGAACTCAAATAACATACTGTTCTGTGGCAATAAAGTGGTAAAACCCGCAAGCATGCCTAAACAAATTTTGATTAACAATTTGATGTCAGCCATGTTCATACTGGGTATTTCCTTCTTCAAAAAGCGCGCACATTTTGCACAGTCAGCCTCAAAGTGAGGCAACGTGATCTGGAACGAGGTTTCGGAGTGAAAATCACTTCGGATTCAGTGATTACACGAGAAGAAATGCGAAGCGTAGTATTTCGGATTGATTTTCACTTCACCTCCAGAGCGGAGTGCCTTTCACTCCGGTTACGCCCACCGAAGTACTTCGGATTGCCTCAGCGTCGTAACTGAAACCCCTATCCGAAGTTAAAAGCAATCCGAAGTGAACCCAATCCGGCGTCGTGTAACTCGGGCCTTAACTGCTAAATATGCTGAAAAATGGAAAGGCACTTGGTCCAGTTGGAGTTCCAACAAACCATGCAAAAGATGCTGTAAAGTTTATTGCCAAGCCATTGAGGATGATATTCAATGCTTCTTTGAAATAGTGAATCTTTCCAAATGTCTGGAACCTCACAAAAATCACATCAATTTACAAATCCGGTGCTCGAAATTAAGAGAACAACTACAGACCTATTTCAGTTCTCTCCCTTTTTTTACAATTACTTGAAAAATTGTGCATGATCAGTTATCGGACTTCTTTCTCTCCACCAGAATATTGACTATGAACCAATTAGCATATCGCAAACTGCATCACCTTTCTGATAAGTCTCAGACATGAACGATAAAACGTGAACTTTGCGCAATTTCTTGATATAAAGAAAGCGCTCGACACAGTAGAACATGAAATATCTATCAGAAAGTATTGGAATAGAGAGTACTGAGGAAGAATGGTCTAGATCGTACATCTTTAATCGTCAAAAATACTGCTCATTAAAAGTTCTCAAGTCGAGCCACCAGGCCTGTTACATTTGGAATACCACAGGGGTCCTGTCTAGGCTCATTGCGCTTGATATTGTTCCTTAATGACTTTGAATCTTGCCTAAAATTTAACGGGTAACCTCTATTCAGATGACACAGAAGTTTCATTATCATCAAATGAGCCTGAAAAAGTGACACGAAACTTTCAGGCTGAATTAGTAAAACATTTCCGAGTTGGTGAGAATAAATAAACTGGATGAGAATAAGTATATATCTCGAGAAAACCGAATTCATAATTATTGACCATCTTCGGAAGCATAGCAAATCGCCACAGCGTTAAAAGTCACTTAAGGTATGCTAACGTGGTATGGAGAGTCCTCTCTGATGCCAACTACACACTCTGGAAAAATATCAGAACAGAGCATTCGAACTAATAGAACCTTCTTAGGTAAAGAATGTTGGGATAAAGATTTATGTTAATTGACGGCGTTTGCCAGATCAGTTATGACTTATAAAATTGTCCATCACCTCTGTCCCGATAAGCTAAGAAAAAAGTTCGTCAAAAGTTTTTCATTTTGTTTATCTTAACTTTTCTTTTTATTGAAAGGTTGTCATGTATAAATAAGATTAATAGACAGGGAATTTTTAACAACAATCGAGCAAAGTGCCTAACCTTAGTTTTTGCTTTTGATTTGGGTACTTTAAGCCTTGCTGAATATTTTAAGCCTTGGATACATTTTTGTAGCACAATAGAAATCACATGATCGATGACGTCATTTTCCCCGGTCATTAAAATTTTTAATTCTTTTTTTTGAAAAATCGCTCCAACCATCTTGTTTGGCATTGTAATAGGAGCAAAAAGTTCTAAAGAATAAACTCTATCAGACCTGCAGATAACGAGTTATTGCTATTTAAAGTTTGCATGACGTCATCAAAATGGCATTGCATGGTCAAAGTAGCTCTTGGAAAGAAATTACATATCAAGGCAGCTTTGAAGTTAAACAAGTCAACGACGAACGACATGAAATTGTACCCAAGGCATGTATCTCCCTCAAATCTAAGTTTCGCCCCGTTGGCAGCGATTCCTTTTCCACCAGACAACTAAAATGCATCACAACTGGTAAGCAGAGGCCTGTCACAGAATTTAATATCGGCTTCCATCAAGGCAACAACCTATTCCTATGTTTCTTCAACAAAGGCTAATTAAAGGTCCACATAGTTTCTTTCCGCCAATTGATAAAGCGAGTTTGAGTAGAGAAAGACATGTCTTCTCTTTCATCTGTTGATAGAATTTTATTGTTGTAGAATTCACTTTTTTGTCACTATATACAACCGTTCGAATGAACTCCCGTGCGCCATCCAAAGCTTTCTTACCTAATTTCCAGGAAATAGCCAAGTTCTCAATATGCTGGTATTTTAAATCGTCGTTAATAAGTTTCCCAGCCCTGTAGAAGTAGGATGTGTTATCACACCCTGTGATAGCATGGAATGCTGGCAGGGAAGAACACAGTTATTTGTCGAGGCTTCTGCAAATACTTCCAACTTTGACGAATCTCTCATGGTCATAATTGTTAAACCTGTGTGTTTATACGCCCAAATTAAAAGCACAAGAACATCAGTGTTTTTTTGAGATAAGGACTACATCTGATTCTTGCATTAATGCATGAAGTACAAGCCGAATGTCTACGTCTTTAAGAACACACGAATGCAAGAACAAAGATCTATTTCTTTAGACTCTGTATGTTTGTTCCTCTATGACAATGAAGAATACTTAAGGCATAATATCCTTTCCTTGCTTTGCACAACCCTTGCAATCCTCTTTACGGGCTACTTTAATTTTGCATAGTTATGACGAATGTAACTCCATCTTACATTTTGTGGCATTCATGCAAGCCTTGCAGCATCAACTTTTTACTCGATGATGCACGGAACAGTCCGAACGTGTTGCAATAGAAAGCGGCACCGGCTTCTATATTCAAGCTCACTTCTTTATTAGAGTGAAAAAGCTTTTTGTACTTTTAATGAGCTAGACGATCGAAACTTTTTTTCATTGTTGACTTGTTATCTTTCGAAGCTGTCTTGATATGTAATTTCTTTCCAAGAGCTACTCTGACCATGCAATGCGTATGAATCGTGTTAACACATGTATAAACTTCCATGTATGAAGCTGTATCGAAGAGGTCCTGATGTAATTTTTGTCTCTCTATTGAACAATTCGTTTTGAAATTTTGGAACATGGCTTGCGAGCAATACTTGCACTCTTTTCCGTAACTATCCGATCTGAGAAAGCTAGATGCATCGTTTCCTTCAAAAGACTTCGACAGACATTCTGATAACTGCAACATCGCCTGTAATTGTGATGATTGAGTGCAAGAGGTATCAAGTCATGCTTGGCATGTAAGTGCTATTTAATATTGCACTCTCTAGCTGCTGTAAAAGTTGGAGTTCATTGCCGAGCGACAATGCTGACGAATCGACGGTCTTTCATTGCTGACGAAAGCTCCTCTTCAGTATAGCTTTTTTGAAGAAAAATTTTTATTAGAACATTTTCCTTTTGCTTGCATTTTGTTCAATACTTAGTTTCCCAGGCGTGCAAATATATAAGCTCAAATGACATTATTGAGTTGCCGAATAACACAAAGGTCAAAAAACTTCAAAATCGAGGTAAAGCAACCTAAATTATGACCATGAGCCTTTGAATTCCACGTGCTTGAAAACTGCAAAACCGCCATTTTGATGACGTCATGCAAACTTTAAATAGCAATAACTCGTTATCTGCAAGTCTGATAGAGTTTATTCTTTAGAACTTTTTGCTCCTATTACAATGCCAAACAAGATGGTTGGAGCGATTTTTCAAAAAAAAGAATTAAAAATTTTGATGACCGGGGAAAATGACGTCATCGATCATGTGATTTCTATTGTGTTACAAAAATGTATCCAAGGCTTAAAATGTTCAGCAACGCTTAAAGTACCCAAATCAAGAGCAAAAACTAAGGTTAGGCACTTTGCTCGATTGTTGTTAAAAATTCCCTGTCTATAAATGAAAAATGAAATGTCTGATTTTCCATGGATTCATGCCAAGCTGATTTCTGTTAGCTCAAAAGGTTAGGTCTTAGTTCTTTTTACAGCGTACCACGGAATCAATATCTCTAATGGAATTTAGGATTTCTTTCCAAACAATGGAGCCAATGTACAAAAAATCTTTTATTACCTTTGCGAACTCTCATGCTTACGCGATTTAACATTTGAAAATGTTTAAAGAGAAAGTGAAACTGAATCGTTTTTCATCCTCAATCAAACAGCAATCAGTAACATTGCATTTGGGAAAAGTACTTCACAGTCATCGGTGCACGGTCCGTATACAAGTGCCAATGCGGTCGATGGAGGCAGAACTGGCGATTGGAATAATTTACGTGATTTTAGCAGATGCATGCACACACTAGCGCAAAGACCTTGGTGGTCTGTAGACTTTGCTGGAGATGCAGTTGTGTATTCAGTTACAATATACTCAAGGTTAGATTGCTGTTTTGAACGAGTCAGTGGTCTGCATGTAAAGCTTGGCAACAAAAATGCGCCCAATGCAAATACAAGAATTTGGACTACACCCACCTTTTCATCGACTCAAACAAACCATATGAAAGAATTCGGCCAACCGAAAAAAGGAAAGTATCTTTATGTGGAGTCGCAGGTAGACAACTATTTGGATTTTTGTGATGTTGAAGTAATGGGGTATCTTCAATAACAGATGAAAAACCTTTTATTAGCATAGCAAAAGAAAAAATAACTTTCGCTGGAAGAAGTCAATTTTTAGGCCTTATATGACTTGTGTATAGCCAGGCATTATTCTAAGGATTTTCATCCCTGCACAAATGCATAAATTTTGCAATTCAAACCAGTATCGCGATTAGGAGTGTAACTAGCCCAATAAGTTTGCGGGGGGGGGGGGGATGAACAATGTTTCTGCCCTGTAAAATTGAGAGGTGCCCTGCAGACAAATTCTTGGATTCAGGGGGGGCATTGTAGCGATATAAAATTGAGGGGGACAAGAATTGCACTTTTCCAGAAGTACCATCCGCCCCAGCCCTCACCATTAATAATGACTGGTCCCTTAATTGATTTTCAATAAAGTTTACATATTACGGCATATGTTTTCAGCTACGTGACAGGGAAAGGGCCACGAATTTGAGCCCGGGGGGCTCAGAACCAAGTTTAATGATGTAGGAGGACCCACCATAGCTGGGTCTGACGTTAAGGAAATTTTTTGAATTATACCTTGTAGAAGATCTAAAAAGCATATCCCAGAGTAAAATTAAACAAAATACTATATCGCTTAGGAAAGACATTTCGGCCGTTCTCAGAAAAACACTGATTATTGTTCTTTGAGAAAAATTAGGGAGAGGAGGAGTCATAAACTCTAGTGACAGACGTTGGGGGAAGAAAAAAGGGTGACTTTCCGTTTCAGATTGCACATCGATGTGAATAACAAGAAGCTCTTGGCTTGGTTGAGAGAATTTTATTTTCGGTACATCTTTTTTGCCTCGAAAAGGTCATGCTTACACATCTAAAATTAAGACATTGCAATAATACAGAAGATGATTTACTGATTTAATGTAAATAATCGATAAATAATAGAAATATACGTAAATAGGTAATTAAATAGATCAAACAAAATCAATCGGTATAAAAACAGTTTGTTCTCTTTTTATTTGATACTCTGTTTTTAAAGTAATAGAAAAAACGGTGAAAAGCTCTTATCTTGAAAAATGGGGGGGGGGGGCTTCAGCCTCCTAGCCCCCCTAGTGGTGCCGTGCCTGCGCGAAAAATTTTTAAAACTTGCGTCGACTCATATTATGGACAGGTGACGTTTTATTAGGACAGCTACGATCTTTCTAAAATTGTTTATTCCCCTTCAATTCGTTATTCATAACAGATATAAACTCTTTTTATACCAATATTGTTTATAAGAATAATAAGAATATTGTTTATAACAATATAATTTTTAAGAATAGTTTAAGGATATTGCTGGGCTACAGCTCGCATATTTGTGTCTTTTTTTCCAGCAGTTGCCTTTTTTGCGTATCTCATAATTTTAGAAAGCTAGGTTTTCTATTCTAGGACAGACTATGTTCTCCCAAATCAGATTTGAAAAAAGTAGAATACTTCAAGTATATATTCAGGCTTAAAACGAAAATATCGTGGCTGGAAAAAACGTATAGTATTCTTATAAAAAATAGTGTACTCTAGTATCAGACGACCTAAACCCGCAGTAAAGAAGCTGACTTGTTTGTTGTGGGCTTCTTTTTGAAAGCAAATAGAATTAAAGCCATAGATCGATTTCGTGGTTTTTGGTTTTTGGATCCCACTTCCTAATTACAAACACTAAATGGGCACAGTTATCAAATGGCCTGACGCGACTCAAAACGTCGGTTTTCATGTTTTCTAGTAACGCTTTTTATTAAAACAGTCAGTGGAGATCTGTTTATATCTTATTATTCAGCCCACCCCTTTACTGGATCCCCTTTACTGGTGGGAGCCTAGCAACACTATGGACCAGATGAATTACGGACCATTTGTGACTGGAATTTTTTGTTGTCTTAGTCGGGAAGGACAGGAAGAGGTAAGTGAAAAATTTGAATTCAAATTCAATGAAGCCTGCCACGTATCAAATCGCTCATAGTTTTTGTGGCGAGATTTCAAGTGAATAATATGAACCGAGCCATTGTCACAAGAAAAGTCTTAGCAAAATTTGAAAAGCCTTTAGTCCAAACTTCACAGGTCGCTCTTTTTCGTAATAATTCTGTATCGGATTATTGCAACAGGTTTTAAGAATTAGGTAGCCTATGCTATAATTGTAAAACCTCATCATTGAATACCTTTCATTTCTTTCGGATTTGCTATCGCTAATTAATTGTCACATGTAATTTATTGGAAGACAACAATCGCATGAATCACTGAGATCCCGATTAAAATACGTAAATCAAGTAACAGTCATTGAAAATGCACAGAGGAATGCAGAATGTAAGTGTAGGGAGACCTGATAAATGGCACAGGGGCTACAAATTTTTTGCCAAATTAAGTTATTGGAATTAAAATCACCTGATATTGTCATGTGTTTATTGAATGCAACAAAGTTAGAGCAGAGGCCATGCAAGGTTCTTGTTCTTCTTCCCTCCAAAAAAGCAAATTTTTCACCTGACACTCTTGCTGTTTTTTTTATTTTCAAAAGGCCCTTATAGGGAGCATGCATGGTCCTCTTATAGCAATCAGGGGGTAAATGTATAAAGCAATTTAAGGGATAAGCATGGAGCAAAGAAAACAGAATTTTCCAGAATCTGTTCAGAATCAGTAGAACTCCAAAAGCTCTAAGATCATGGAAGCATGGATGGATCTAGACAAAGTCTTGAGTTGAGCAAAAGGAAGAGGGGAATGAAAGTCCTTGCCCCCCAAAAATAATATGAAATTTATGAAAAAAATTTGCCTTTGAACATCTACATTTTTGATGTTTCAGGGAAATTGATTTTATGATACAATATTCAAACTGTCAGGAATCAAATTGGTACTAGGGTTTAAAGAGTTGCATTTCAAAAATGACATCTTTCAAGACCTGAAGATAAATATAATTTCATTTAGGATCAAACCAACTCAGGAAAGAATTTTTACATGGCCTATAACACCAAATATCAGTTTTGATTTTGAAAATTTTCCAATATTATTCAGAAGTCTATTCAGGTTTTTATTTTTTTGGTTTGTGAAGACCAACTTCTGGACGCCAACAAGGTGGTAGTGTGTGAATGTTTATCTCCATGTCACAAACCATTAGTTGTTAAGCATTATGCTTCAGTATACCAATGCAACAATTTTATCACATTATCTATGCATCCATAAAAAAATTTGCATGTAAACATTTATACTGGTGAACCTGTGATGTGAATTTTTATAATTTTGCCTCATACATGAAGAAATTGTCCCTATATTTGCTCTTTCCTATTCAAAATATTTCAACTTCTCTTAATTCCATGGGATTCATCAACAGAGGTTTTTTTGAATAGTTTTCCTATCAGGATATAATACAAAATTGATTATAGCCAATTATGCTTTTTAGAACATCGAAAAGGGTGCATTCCTTTACAGGGAGTGTATTATGCAGTTTGATTTCCAATTGACATGGCAGAAGGTGCTTTAGGTAGACACTAATGTTTTCCAATTTTTCTAGAAAAGTATCCTGCTAGGAAACACAATCTAAAAGTGAAGCCAGGGGTGTAGTGCTAGGGGGGGCTTAGGGGGGGGGGCTGAACTACCAATATGGCCAATATTCTACTATTGCGTTTGTGCAAGGGCCCCTCTTGTTTTTTTGATAGCATTACACCACTGAGTGAAGCCAAACTTTGGAGGATGAATCATTGCCAATCTAAATAAAACAATAGTTTGCAAATATCCTGATTTTTTGTCCTTGAAAAATTTCAGGCACCTGCTCTGTCACGAGTATCAGTAGCTTTCCCTCTCTTGCCTTTTTTGAAAATTTGCTGTCCATGTCATGTAAAATAGGACAGAGATGTTCAGCCTCAAAATAACAATATTATCTTACTAAGTCATTGATGCCAAAGTCTCAGTGCCAGTTCTTTAAAAATGGGTTTCCTTATGTTGCTTGAAACAAGTTTTCAGACCTATACAGAAGAGATCTTAATATCAAGAACTTTCTCTAATTGTTTCGAGGGGAAGTCCAAACAATTTTGTGCAGGTGCTCCCTGAGATCCCCTCTTTTCTTATTTCACCACTTAGCCCTGTAGTGTTTGGCCAGTGTCCAGAAAACATAGTTGACAACAGAGACGCCGGAACGACAAAGGGGACAGTCTTGAATAAAAGAGTATTTAAGAGATAATTCCCGGCTACTAGCTTTTCTTTCATAACTGTCGCTTTGTTTCGATCTTCTGTAGGGATCATGGACATCGGCTGACTTTTGGCATAAGATATTCTTTACAGGTTTTGGGAAATGTTGTCATGAATACAAAAAGGTAAAATGAATCTTTTGATCATCACAAACTGCCGATGTAAAGGCACTTCTTTAAAAGGGCACTTTGACCCCTCTTTCCCCCTCCTATCAAAAGGCAACAGGAGCGGTTGACCCCCCGCGCTCCCCCTTCTCCGGTGCCCCTGGTAGGTATTGAGGCAATGGACGCGAGGAAGGGCAATGGGAGCACAATAAATTAAAGTATTGCACACAAACTCCAGTCTGTTTTAAAGTTTTTCTTAGGAAGGTTTTCAGAGAAAGTGGTTATTCTCTGTGAAAAAGGTAAATTTAAAAAAGTGGCCTATTTCTACTTTTGTTTTTGCGACATTTTATGCAAGAGCCTCCCTTTTTGTTTCGGAAGCGCCAGAAACCCCGACCCACACTGCTCCGATTCTTCAAAATACAAAATGATTTGCCTTTTTCTGTTCTGTTTATTCGCCAAATTGTCCCTACCACGATTTTTAGGCACCCTTCTTTTAACACCCTCAGATGTATTTCCTGAATTTTTCCCTGGATTTTTCCAAAAGCACCTAAAGGCGCATTTATCGAAAATGTGGAGGAATTAATGATGAAACCTAAAAAGTGTAATTATCAAGCAATTTCAGGAACTGCGAAGCCATTGGGCTAGCAGGGGCTATGCCTAAGTAGTAGCAGTTCTTATTGACTGGGAACCCTTTTTCTTCATTTTTTAGCTGTTTTCTTGATGTTTCATTATCCTCAAGCTAATTTTATCTGTTTTTATAGCTTTTGATATATTCTCTGAACCAGACTATTTATAAAACTTCAGTAGAAATAAGCAAGTACTTTCTAAAAGAGGCATTTTCCAACGGCCTCAAAAACTTTTCGGTCACACCCTTTTAAGCCCTTCCACATTTAGACTGGTGAAAAATACTTCTCCGGTTTTAACGTCTCCGTTTGCCTGAATTTATTCGAAACTTTGACAGTCAATTGAGTGAGTGGTCATTAAGTATGTGTTATACTGGGGCGGAGGGTATTTACAGAATATTTATGAAAATTTCAAACCCCTCCTAACTTTTCAGTAAAATGTCTCATACCCCTTCAAAATCTTTAAAAGTTGTTTCATACCCCTTCTCGGCTCTAACTGATGAAATTTGGTGATTACATTAAAATGGTCAACTGCTTGCATGTTGTTACGCCACATCAAAATAACCTGATGCGACAGGGCGAATCTTGCCTGCCTCAATTTTTTTATGTGCATTGTGCCCTTTAAAGTCTGAAAAATGAATATTTCTCCATCATAGATTAAAACTATACTTTAGCCATAACTCATGTACATCAAAAGGGGCTTCAATGTCTTTTAGCCATATCAGCATCCACTACAGAAGAGTTTCTCAGGTTGTCAACAGTGAACGTTTTTTCATACCTGGTAGGAAGCAAAAATTGATCAAGATGGCATGCAGATATAGATAGAAAAAGTAAGGTAAACAAGACTTACAAGGTCTTTGCTCTGTTGTTAGTTGCTACCCTACCTCCCCGCGTTGTTGTAAAGATTGGCCCTGCAGTTCCCTGTTCATCCTTCTCATTATAAAGGGCTGGCAGGAAACTCTTCCATATCTGAAGAATCTGAGCTTGATGCTATGCTACTGTATTTTCCAAAACAAGGTCGTCCGCACTATCATCAGAGTCAATTAAAGAATCTTTGTCACATTCCGAATAATCTTGGTGTGCTGTTTCCTCCTGCAAAAATGTAGAGGCTATATGTGTCCTTATGAAATTAACTGTCTCCTTTTCCTCAAGCTTGAGAGACTTGCACAATTTGTGGTACTGAAGATACTTGTCCAATTCATTCATTTTTTACTTCCATCATTGAAAAGTTTCATACAGTCGTAGTCCTTGTAGATCTTATTTTTTGCTCTGTCAGATAAACTGGCTTTTTTCAGCCAGCCTTTCTTCGTTTGTTAAGCTCCAGAATTTGAGCTGAAAATTCACGACTCAAACAAGGCTAATTTAGAGAACATGATTCAATCAGCAGAGAAGATGCAATCATCTATTATTTCAAATGTTAATGTTTTGAAACGTAAGATAAACCCCCATGCTGAAAAGACGGCTGAAGAGAAAAAAAGATGAGGAGAGTGACAGAAAGCAAAAAACGGTCTGCAAAGAAATCACATCAAAGGCTTATTGTGAAAGCAGAGGAAGTGATGAAATTGTTGAAAGGAAAACTTAGCCTAAATGATTTGCCAAAAGATAATGCAAAAAAGTTTATTCAGCTCTCTGATTTAGAGAAAGATGCCAAACCTGTTTCAAGATATCATCATAAAGCATTATTATGTATGGCGCGGCAAAAGCAGCAAGAATATTTGTTAAAAATTTGAGATGCTTTTTTATATATTGAAATGCTTAAAAGACTTTTTGTGATACATACTTTTTTGGAATACTTAAGTTGTTTTCAGTTGAACTTGCTCAAATCATGTTATGTGCATATTTTTTGCGATCCCTTTCTTTCTGAGATAATTTTGTAATATTGTAAGATACTTTTCACTTTTTTAAATACTTTTTTCGGATACTTTTTTTCGAATAATTTTTTCGATACTTCTTTTTTCACCATACTTCCTTTCTCTCGATATTTTTTCTCTTTTTCGCGCCAA